GCTGAAATTCCTGTCAAAGCAATGGACATCCTAAAGAAATGTTCAACAGCTTTTTGCCGTTTGTGTGCAAGTTCAACTGAAAAAAAGATATTACTTTTATTCAACAGAAACACTTCAAATCTCTGTTTTGATGACCTTAATTGGTCCTCTACTCTAAGAAATCAATATTGGCCCTTCTTAAAATTTGTGTTGATTACGTGAACTTTTGAAAATGATCATTGTTCCTCATCTTTACATTATTACATTTTTAGTTCTTACCAGACCACTTTTGAATATCACTTTCGTTTTGTGCTGTTTTCACCATTTTTGCGTTGACACGATCAAAACTTTTGACCCAAAATGTTTATCAAGCGTTACCAAACCTTATTGAGTAATACTGCGCAGTTTAAAACATTTTGATTGACAGTGTTCTGTATACATTTGAATCTTGTGACATGACCCGGCGAGTTTTCCTTTGAAGTCAAGCATACTGTAACTGCGATACAGAACACTTTTTGTGGGCGTTTCTTATGCAAATGATCAGAAACTGTACTGTATCTGCAAAATATCAAAGATACAGTACGGTTTATTTTCAGCGATGATGGAAAGCTGTATCCATATTCAGACACAACAATCGTTCAATTCGCATGATAGCACTGTTAGTAATTACTCTAAATTTGAGGTGATTTTACTTAGAATAAAATTTTACAAAATAAACTTATGAGTGTGGGATTCAAAAAAAATAGAAAGGAGGGAGTGGGGCAGTTCAAAAAGGATTACTTTGAACCCCCCCTCTCCCCCCCCCAAAAAAAAACCCCCTGAAAATCGTATTTCGGGGGGTAGGTTTATAATCAATTTTATTAAAAACATGAAGGTAAAATACCCCCCTTCCTTTCATCACTTTATTTCAATTTTGTATATGATGACAGGTGGAGGATATTGTCGGAGATTTCTCTCAGAATACGATATCCCCGAAGCATTTTTGTTTCAAAATACGATTCTTATATATAAAAATGTTTTGCATTAATTCGTAGCTTAAACTTTTAAAAAAAATGTCAGCAAGAGCTGAATAGATAAAGAAAACCCTACCCAATCAAATCTAAATTAATTTTTTGGAAAACAAAATATATAATGCATCCCCTAAATAATTATTTTTAAAATAATAGTAAATAATTACCTGCACCTCCACCTCACTCGGCATTTCAGTTGCGAATGCTTAAAATGGGATACTAAATCAACTTTCTGCTAAAATCATCTGATTGGTTGAGAGATATGTACTCAAATACGAATGTAAATTGATGAGGTCATTAGAAAGGTCATGTCACAAGTCATTTAGAATACTAGTTTCCTTCATACCAAACAACAAAGGAAAAGACTTTTTCAGAGATACAGTGTTCTGCTCGAGCTATCGCTCTCGCCTCAAGCCCCGCCCTGTATCTCTGATACAGTAGGAAACTCGTACTCTAAATATAACATACAAATAGAAATGGAGAACGAAGGTTTTTCATAAACTGGTGATAATGGTGGTTTTGTCATTTTGAATGCTTTTAAATCCATAATATAGCATATACTGATGTTTTTGTTTTATAAAAGTAATGAAAGGAATGGCAAATGATTGCATGAACAAAGTGTCGTTGAAAAAACGAAAGAGTTGGTAGGCAAAAATATTTCTCACTGAATACTCGAAATATATCCACCTCAATTTATTTAAAACTTGCATAATGAGTTTTCAGATGGTTTGCACAATTAATGAGATCTTTAAGAAAAGAAAGAAAACTCAAATGTAAAAAAAAAAAATCCATGTATATATGAAGATTGTATATATTGGCGGATTGGTTTTCCTATTAGAAAACCACAAAGAAAGGTTGTAAGGTTTTGGCTTTATTGTGCAATAAAAAGTGTCCTGTAAAAATGATAAAATTGGCTTTGATATAGATTGAGTAAATGAATATGATAATTCATTAAATAACATGAAGAGAAGGAGGACCATTCTGGGAATATGACGTCATTAACTTTGTGCATTTCCAATTATCAGAACACACGCCCCGAAATGGCTCATTTGTGGTTAATTTCTTGTAGGAAATAAGGTCAACAGCCGTCGCCAACTTCAAATTTAAAAAAATATGTCAAATGCTTTGAAAAATCACATATCTCAACCGTATCTTGTTCGTTTCAACAAAGAGGTCGGTAAACTTTATGTATCATGCATAAAATGACCCTGTGGATTTACGAGTCATATTTCAAATACCCATAAAGTAGAGACTTAAATTTGGGCTTTCATTTACTATGGCAGATATTCTTGTAGAGTTTATGATTTGGCAAAATGTCATTGTGACATTGCGGTATTCTTAAATTGTGCAAGTAGGAGGTGTACTTGAGTATCTTCAGCAAGGAATTAAAATCTCATTTGAGCACACCCCGTGATAAAATTAAAATAAAACGTCTTAAAGTATACAGAAAATTTTGTATTATTATTCAATTACATGTTTTGGATCCGAGTTTGTGATCTACGAGTATATTGAAATATGGGATTAAACTTTTTGCTATAATTTTTTTTATTAATTGTCAATATATTGAAATGATGAGGCATTTCACGACGAAGAAATGCATTCAATGTTGAAAAAATTGCATAATTCTTATATCTCTACCTTCAAAATTGGTAATATCTGAAACATTGTCGTCTTTTTTTTTTCAGAGATGGTCCTACAATTAAGTGAACCTCTCTCCTTTTATGATATTTTCCCTGAAATTCTAGTATTGGAATCCATTTATTAACAATCTTTATTCAGGAATAGGCATTATGCAATGTACATTGATATGTGAGTATTATAAACATTTAAAACTTTATAATAGACATACATGATTTAAGAATTGAATTATAAAACGAATCAACTAATAAATCTTATTTTGCATATAAATCAAATAAATGTATTATATTGAATATGCCTAAGCCCAAGGTTAGCCCATGAAAGCCAGTAAGGCTTATTTCCAATAGGGACTTTTAACATGTAACAAAATCACATGCATATAATATGTATTATTATGCACTTAACATGAACAATAAATAGTATACTTGCCATAAACAAGATGGCTTAAAATTCGAATCATACTTAATTTGCAAAAGCATCTAAAATACAAGTTCTTAATTGTATACGAAGGAAGAACAGTTGGGTAATAAATGTAATGCAGCAAATAAAACATGGAAACCTTTCAAACATATATTCTACAATACACATTTCAGCAAAATATAAAAATCTTCCATATTCATTTACAATACACAAAAAAATCACACATGAAAAAACCTATATACACAAAATACACAAATGCATATATACACAAAAGAAAATATTTTAATTATTATGTAGTTCCTTTGTTCATTTTTTTCATTCAGGGACACCGGATGTGGGAATAATTCTCGTAGAGACAGACGCATTCAGTGAATCGATAAACCCTTCATCACATCCGGAAATGTACACAGGTTGGTCACACGTACTTCTCCATAATTTAATTTAAGGTTGTCTTTGAGAGAATGAAAAAAGTTACCAAGTAAGAAGACTAAACATTTGAAAATATCAAGCTTCATGTGTCATGTTCATGCTATTGAAGAATTAAGAAAAAGGGAATATAACTAGTAAGGGATTTTCTTCCCCATTTATACTATTTTGTACATTTTTCTTTTGAACTCTCGTGGTTTTAGTTTAGTCAGAGTGGAGTAGGTCTAGATAATTTATACTTACAAATTTTTCAAAAGCCAAAAAACATTATAAAGTACGACTTTTTCAAATTTCATTTAACTATTCCTTATTAAAATTAAAAATTACACAATTTCATGTTAAAAACAATTGATTTTTTTAAAATCTTGTTAATATTTTAATGGTCATCCACAAAATAACTTTGTTACATACATGTATTACTCGCATTTAAATCATAAGTACTCTGAAGTTTAAAAAAAGAATAATGAAAAAAGTTGCTTGAGTATTCCCTGTTTTTATATTCTTATGAAGAAAAATGTATTAAAAACGTATAAATGAGAAGAAGACAACAATTGAAATGACCTTCAGCTCGACATTTTGTATAACTATTGACGACGGTTTATCAAAAACATGTAACAAATAGTTTTATATGTCAAATCGATTTATCCAAGATTGGACACAGACTACCAATTTCTTTGCTATACATTTCTTTTTAATATAAAAAATTATTTAAAAAATTACCCTGAAACTTGACATAGAGTAAGACCAATTCAAGTCCAAAAAATTATCAAGCTCTCAGGAACATTCATCGTTTGCAAGTCCTGTTATGGCATCTCAAATAACCCCTACCCTGTTATTTCACTTTCTCTTCGAGGAAATGGTAAATATGCGCCTCTTAACACCCTGCCTACTACGCGCTTAAAAGCAAAATTTTCCATTATTATCAATAAAATTAATTTTATATTTTTTTTCAGACCCTCTCCTTTCTATTTATGCCCAAAAATAACCCCATTCCACTCCATAAACATCCACAGGTATTTTTAAAGAAAAAACCTCTATTTTTAAACTGGAAATACTTGCGTGGTCATTGAAATAGGGTGAAAATTAGTAGTCTGTAACAAAATAGTGAACTTGGAAAAAAAGACACCACAGAGTCTGTCACATTTGTTTCAGATTTGGAAGTTTTACTAACTATAGACAATATATGTAATGTAACAGTTAAAACGTGACAAACGTTATGACTTCATCGGTTTTTTGTCTACTTTTCTTATTTATATAGTAATATTTTGAAGTTTTTGCCTATCGAATCAACTGAGAAATAAACTGTGTAGACTACTGATAACAAGTTGATTCCACAAGGATAATTTACAATATCGTTTCCTGTATTGTTGAAATAAAATACTTAAAACAAAATATTAAAACTTAAATATAGACTGGAAGTGTAAATGACAACTTAATTTTTTGCTTTTTTCTATTTCATAAATATTCAATATTTTATTCAATTCAGTAATGAAATATTTCTTACAAGATTGAATCATTTACATCAGGTTAATTGTGAATAAATACAAACTAAACGTAAAAAATAGTATCAAAATTTTATCAACAAAAAACATGTTTACTGGTGGAGCTGTATTTTGAAGTCAATAACAACAGTGAACTTAGATACAAAATTGTATGTAAATGACTACTAGGACTTAGTCAGTTGGATGGGCGACTGGTAACCCCGCGGTATACATTTTAATTTACACTCTATTATCTTATAATGCCAAATTGCTCGGACAATGATGCGCTAATTCATGAATACCGAAAAGAAATTATTTATACCTGGTGATTTAGTATGTTACGCCAATTTATTATCACGCACAGTAATAAGATGGAGGTGGGTCAGTAGGCGTATTGAAAATATTGACCTCTCGTGCCTTAAAGCCATAAGCCGAAGGCAACATATTCTGTGATCTACATAATCTATATTCTTTATTAAATTTAGGATCTAAATCCGAATATGTGTCCGGAGGCAACATATTCTGCAATCTGCATAACCTATATTCTCCATAAAACCTAGGATCTAAATACCTATTCTGCAATTTACATAATCTATATTCTCCATAAAATCTAGGATCTAAATCACATGGTCTATAATTGTGTTGTTGGGGCAGATCTATATTTCTTATACTATAATTTCCTCTCTCGTGTGGATTCCTTTCAGTGTATCTGATATTTCTAGAAGTGTTTCTTTTTGCATAAGATTGGAATGCGTTATTATTTATCCGCAATGAACATGTTAAAACAAACCCAACAATGTTAGCGATACACATAATGATGGAGAGTATAAATGCTACAATGTCCCACTTCTGGTAATCTGAGAGAGAACACGGGTAATGAGATGCCATGCAAATCAGTGTGATCCAGAAGACAGAGACAGAACAGAGTCCAGTAGCTATAACATTTATTCCTAAGCTCAGTCCGTTTATCACTCTGTAAACAGTCACCTGTTCAAAAGAAAATGTGTATATTATAATAGATATAGCCATATGTAAAATTATTTAAGGTAGGATTCTTCTCACATTTCTAATATTTAAAAATTAATGAAATTTTCACAGAATCAAGAAGACAATATCAGTAAGTGAAAGTAACAGTGAAATTAAATTTGACCGTTTTATATTAGAGGCAAGGTCAGGTCAAGGTCATTATCTTTTTCCTTGACATTAAGAATAAAAAAATAACTGTTGCCAATCATGTGATACCTACTTCTATTTCATAAGTTTAATGATTTTTCTTTTTGCATAAAAACATATTACTATGTCGGGTCTATAGCATGATATTACCAAATTTACATAAATAATTTACCTTAACTGGATATTGAGTAATCCGAATTTTCTCTGTTTTTCTTAATTTTTTAGGATATATTAGTTATTTTCATATACTTCCTATATTTAACTTTTTCTTATTTTCACATATAATAAAGTAGTCTTATATATGTACAAAAGATACAAAAACAAAAAGTTTTGCATCGTTTACTAAGAGAGAAAAAAAACTTTTGCACACATGGATTTTTGGCTCACAATCTGCACTTTGATAGGAAGCATTTGAAAGCTAATAAAGTTCTAGTTTGTTTGAAAAATCATATTTATTTGATATATTTGAAAGTTTAGTCCCACATTATTAATCTAACTTACATTTGAAAATTTTTCCAAGTCTTCGATTGTGTAAAAATTATAACCAATTTCATTGTTCTATTATGATTTTGAGAGGCAGAAAAGAAGATATTTTCATACGCCACCATTCCGTTAGATGAAATATATCCCTGCTAGTTTTCAAAAAGCTTTACAATTTATATAAAAGTTGTACAATTGTGATGAGGAAAGAAAAATATGGTCTTTTAAATTCCTTACACCTCAATATATAAGACATATATAAGCAAATATACTTTTAATCAATTAATGGTTTCATCTAGTCAGAAACCAGAGAAGAATCCTACCTTAAGGAATTTTATTTTAAGAATGAGGAAAGGTTTCTCACATTAGTAAAGGATCACATGAAAGAATGGTGGCAGAATAGAAGACTGTGGCAGAACATAAAATAAGATTTAATTACTTACTCTCTTGATATAGCTTGAAGATGGTAGATTAATATTATTAATATCCATCTTAGAGACAAAATAACAAGATATACCACTGAGCAAGAGCTACAATTAAAATTAAAAAAAAATCTTTAACACAAACTTTTTTTTCATGAACAAGATCAGTACCTTATTTATTGTAAATAAAACTTTATGGTACATTTTTTTTTATTATATTACATAATATATTATTATATTTCTTATATGTTTTATCGGTATCGTTATTATGTTATCTCCATTTATTTCATATTACGATATTATACTTTATAAAAATGTACAGGTATAGTAATTAAAATATTACCATTGTTCCCGACCATATTAGAGCGCCTGTGTGCACTGAGAAACTGAAAACAAATCGCCCTATACTATGGACAACCAATACAATTCCAAAGACGATGCTACTTGTTGAAATTCCTACCAAAACAATGGACATCCAAAAGAAATGTCTTGCAGCTTTCTGTCGTTTGTGTGCAAGTTTACCTGTAAAAAGATATTGCTTTTAATCAACAAAAACACATGAAATCTCTATAGTTTTGATACCTTAATTTACTCCCTTGTCTGAATGATGACATCATCTGGCGAGACACTTCAATTTTGGAACCTTAATATTAACAACACAAAGGACGATATGGTTGGCCCTTCTACTCACAATTTATTTTTACTCCACTTAAGTTATTTTAATTGCAGTGAAAAGAAATACTGAACATTGGTACTCACAATTAAATATTTTACTCCAGTAAAATACTTTTTACTTCAGTAAAAATCATTTACTTACTCACTGAAGTAAGAATACATATTTTGGCCACATTATTCACAATAAATTCAGTTAACTGCAGTAAAAATATAACACGGACCATTTCCCACAAAAATAAATATAACACTGGCCATTTCTTCTCACAATTTAATTTTTTTACTGAAGTAAAAATCAACCAATAGCAAAGTACGAGGGTTGATCCAAAAGTAATGTAACTGTGTCCATATCTTTAATGTTTGGCGTAAATCATCAAATATAGTGTACCAAAAGATGCATAAAAATAAATCTAATCAAAATTGAAAATTTCATTGAATAATGTTCAAGTGACTTAATTTTATAGACGTTTAAAACATTAAACATAAGGGGTTTCGGGTGTTGTTAGGATGAAAAGGACAAACCTATTAAAAAGCATCTAAAAGCGTATATAAATCGCCCAAAATTTTAAAAAGCAAAATCAAACTACAATTTTAGTCTTAGGTTGAAAATAAATTTGCATCATTGCGTTTTAATCTTGAATATTGTTGTTGTTTTAATCTGATGTATTGAACAAAGGAAATATCGAAATGAAAGAAAACCGCTGACAGGAGCTGTTAAATGCGTCTTTGCTTCAAAATGGGGAAATCGCCCATATATACAGTTACGATGACTTATCAGACACACGGAGGAAAAAATGTAAATAGCGACTTGTTTATAGATGGATTCAGTGATTTTAGGCAGGTCATGGTTCATTGAAATATCAGCCTGATGACAGGAAGACAGAAACAGGGACGTCGGGCGGAAGCGTTTAATCGTATCTATTACGTTGTCAAAAAAAGAGAGAGACGTGTCACGGTTAGAGCAATATGAGAATCTTGAAGTTTGTCTTATGGTATTGTTCAAAGAATTTTGACAGAGGACTAAATTATATATATTGAGTGAGTGTACACACGTAGGTGCCAATGATACTTAAAAATAATGAAATGGTTGACTGTGTTTGTGAATCTTAAATACTTTTTTTATGAAATGAAAGGGAAGCGTTTTAGTGTATGACATCACGTATCCGTCACATGACGTTATTTAGGTGGGCGACTACCATAATTCCACTTCGCATATACATGTGTAATTAGATATTTTGAAAGGTATAAATCATTATTATTTGAATTTTCCAGGTCTCGTTTGTAATTAATATATCATGTAAAAATTTGTTGATTTATGTCGACTCGTGGCAATCTTATCGAAGTTGTGACATTACTTTTGGATCAACCCTCGTATTTTAGAAATAAAACTTTAAACAAGGGACATAGAGGCCAGGGGCCCGTTTAACAAAAGAACTTACGACTTAAGACCAAATTTAGTTCTTCGCATAAATTTTTAAATAACAATATATTGAAAATGATTTTAATCTTTCTAAAAGGAATGTAGTACGATATTTTTACACAAGCAATTTTAAACAGAGTCATTAATTTTGCAATTTGTTACAATCATCCGATATTTTCGGTCTTAAGGCCGGTATACACGATAAGATTTGTAGTATAATACAAGTATTATAATACTTTTGTATTATAATACTTTCTTGTACACACGCTAATACATATCTTATTAGATTGTAAATAAACTATTATTCCCACGTGTTTTTTCCTGCCATATTTCTCTCTCTCTCAAAATAATAAAAACGGTAATAATAAGCTCTGCTTCTAGCATCTTTTTTGTGGTAGCTACAGCTTGATATATTCCACGAGTCCTCTTCCACTTCCCATTAAACCACGAGTTTTTCGATATCTTTACTTGAAAATTCGTCCATTATTATTTACCATGTGCTTTATTTAGTAATGATATAAATAGGATGACCCCCCAATATGAGTACATTTGATTGGTTGAAAGTGAAAGGTGAGTTAAGACTTGTATTAGGAAATAGAGCATTGCTCTATTCTTAATAAATTTTATAAGATTCGAAAAATCTAAAGATCTAAAGATACACTGTTTTAAGAGTGTATACACAGTAAGATTTTGTATTACAATACAAATCTTATACATGTAATACAAATCTTACCGTGTATACCGGCCTTTAGTCGTAAGTTCTTCAGTAAAACGGGCCCCTGATATACATAAGACATCACGAAGAAACGGGAAATATGAATGAGGAATATGTAATAGTGTTATCCCGCGTTTTGTAGTATAGCGGGAAAACATTGTATGATAGGAACGTATTTTATTGGTTTTGCCTGTATAATAGGCGTGGCCAAAGGAAGGCCAATGAGAAAGCAGTATTCAGTAAGGTGTTCGAATCGTTCTAAGCCAGTGCTCTTCAACATACACACGTGTTTTTTTTTTTTTTTTTTTTTTTTTTTTTTTTTGGTTTTTTTTTTTTTTTTTTTTTGGCTTTATATATAATGTATATCATGTTTGTATAAATATTACGGTAATAGAAGAAACAATACTGTTGGAATGTATTTTAATTTCGAATTTTTCATACATGCAAACATTATAGGATGTTCAGGCATTTTTAAGTACTGCATCGAATGCACGTTCGGCATTCTCCCCTGATACATTATTTACATAGCGACGGACACAGGTTTTCCATAGTTAACCGTCTATGGTTTTTGCCTGGGCGGTTTTTAATGTCTGTGATAGGGGTATAATTTATTACACGTAATATAATTTACAAATAAATTGCAGTACTTTATTGTTTCACATACAATGTAATGTATGTTCAATATTTATGTATAGTTGTCAAAATAAACGCCAGCTGCTCCCACTAAGCTAGCCTGGCTTACAGCATAGTTGTTGTATTATTTGAGGTGTAGTCTGTCAAATAATGAGTGGAAATTATACGAAGAAATACACACCATCAGATGACTACATGTATGTGCGTTTAGCAGCTTTTCCTTCTTATGTGTCCTTTCTTTCCAAATTAATAGTGTTTTAGTCCAGATAATTTCGAATGTATCGTATACAAGTAGGTATTACTGAAATACCGTATATCAGGTTTTTTCCGCGTCATGTTTTTTTCCGCGAATCAGGACCTAAATCGGTATTTTAAATTTACGCGAATCAAATTTTCACTATTTCAAAGTCCCTGTGATTATATTATTAACAATTTTTTAAGCTTATGAAGGAATAGGATGTAAAATGTAAAAGTCATTAAAGATCGATCGACCTTCACCTTGTCAATTTCGGAAGACCCGCTTGGCTAATCACGAGATATTATTTTTTAAAGATTTAAACAATCATAGGTCATTTACTGTTCCAAACTGACTAGCAGCTCAGGTATAATTAGTTTAATGACTTCTCGCAAGGAACGTGACCCCATATAATTAGCTAGCTTGTCAATTAGTAAACAAGCAATAAGGGCTTATACCTATTACCGGTATCTTGCGCTTGCCCTCTGATCCCGCTATTTCTACCCTCTACGATATAAGCATTAAAAATAATTCTAATACAAGAAAAAACTTTGTATGAAATTTACGCTGTTTTATTTTCCGCGATTCAGAACCTGTCGCGAACAAAGCGGAAATTGGATACACGCGGAAAAATCCTGATATACGGTATGTTCGAACAATAAGATATATATATACATTAATATATCAATTACTTTCTGATATATATATATATATATATATATATTCCGTTCAAAAACTACGTGCACAAATTCCCCATTTCTAAATGACATGTGAAGCAGCCCGAGAAATGTCCCCATTGACCTGTGAGTCAACGAATTTCTCACTTCAGTAAAATATTAAATTGTGAGTAGATATGGCCAGTGTTACATTTTTACTGCAGTAATAATATTTTTACAAGAGTAATATTAATTAATTGGGAGTTAAATGTCACATTGTATTTTTACTCCAATAGAGGAGTAAATTAATTAATTTTCCTGGAGTAAAAATATTTAATTGTGAGTAGCAATGACCAGTGATTTATTTTTACTGCAGAAAAAATAATTTTAGCGGAATAAAAAAAAATGTGACTAGAACGGCCAACCATAATCAAATGTTGTCATTTTTCATATAATTTTCAGGATATTGTTTTTACATCGAATTCTCTACGGTCGTATTCTTTTTTTTACCTGATCCTGATAAAAATTAAAGCACGCGGTGGGTGTGACCAGTTGACGTAAGGTGCATTCTTGCACCTGTTATTTAATATATTCATCTTGGCTCTGCTTAAAATTTGTGTTGATAAATTGAACTTTTGAGAATGATAAATGTTAATTACTAGTATCTAAATATTTCTACATGTTTAGTTCTTACCAGATGACTGTTGGATGGCACTTTCGTTCTGTGATGTGTTCACCATCTTGTTAATGTCACGATCGATTCTTGTGACTAAATTCCTATCAAGCGTAACGATAATACTACTTTGCAATAAAATGCGTAATGTAAAATGTTTTAGAATAACAGTTTGACAGTGCAGTTATGTAAACATTTAAATCATACAAATGGAAACGGATAACGTGTTTTTTTCCTTCACTTTTCACAAACTAGCGATAAAAGTGGTTTTGATGTTTAAAAACAAATTAATGGATATAAAATTCATATAGTATACTGAAAATGTTGTTATAAAAAATCAATGGCAAATGAATGCTTAAATAACGTATCGTGGAAACAAAATAAGAAATGATAGGTGAAAATATTTTTCAGTGAACACTTGGAATATATCCAATTTATTTTCGTTTAAAACTTACATAATAGGTTTTTAGACAGTTTGTACAATTTTGGAAACTCTGAAAAAAAGTATTTATAAAATGTATGTATCCAGGCAAATGGGCTTTCCGATTAGAAAACCAGCAAAGTTCGTTTAAGACTGTAGTTTGGGCTTTATAAAAGTGAATAATCTGAGAAAAAATTTATAATTGGCTTTAATATTGGTTGAGTAAATGAATAAAAGAATTATAAGACATGGAGGTGAAACATTCTTTGAATACGACGTCATTATCTTGCTATGCTTGTACATTTTCAAGTTTTAATGATAGACAATGAAATGGGCGGTACAATTCGACGTGGACGGTCGAGAAAACATTGGTTTTAAATTCTAGTTTGAAATTCGTTTAGGCGTGTGTGTATCATAAGAGAATGTCAGCATTAGTAAATAAAAAATGTGGTAAAAATAGTTGGGAAAAAAGGCATGCTAAATATCCTCTTGCTTTCCTCTATATAAATTGACAATTTGTGAATTCTGTGTGTAATTGATCAGAGAGAGGTGCTACTATTTTATTAATTTCTCATTTGGAGAAATGATGCGCAATTAATTATTCATGAGGATGCCCCTAAGTGATTTACTTTAGCTTCGATTTAATATTCATAAGATCTTTCATAAACACGAAATAGTCCACTTCTTTAAATTTTTACATTAAAAAAATGCAAGCACAGTTTGTTTCATTTTTTTAAGTCTCTGTCATAGTTATTTCGCAGACTTTTGTGTTAATGACAGTTCAAACTCATACTATCTTTTTGGTAATAAGTAGGAAATTGCCGTTTTCAAATTACAAAGCGGTCTTAAATCTTCGTTAAATTATAAACCACCTGTATTCTATAAAAAAAAAAAAACCCATACATTTTTTTGCACTTATTAATCGACAAAAAAATTTCTCTCAACTTGATTTAAACACTTAGTACATTTATTCATCAAAGATTTTAAAGACACTTATTTTGCGCACTTTCCTTCATTAAAACATTAAACTCTCGCTTCGGAATATATAAATCAAATATTCGGTTTCTACCCTCGACTTGGCATCAACAATATTGTCATTTCAGGTAGAAAACATTAAGAAAAAAATCTGAACATCGGCGAAAGAACTTCATCCGAAATACAAATATATAAATATCGTAGATTTATTGCACGATCTCTATATAAATCTTTCATGAAATCTGTCGCCATTATAGTTCCAATATGGCCAATATGTGAATGAGCAGAATGAACACCATTTCTCCATATATTCTGAATCGAACTCACAACCATCAGGTTTTCGATTACGCCACAGAGACAATCAATAATTGGGAAAATTTTATTAAAAATATAAACTTAATTTATACAATTGACACAAGAAGGAGAAAATAGACAAATATTATTTGAAAACAGTTATATTTATTCTAAGGAATCTTAGATAAATGTGTACAACAAAGTTTCAAACTAATTACATACAGATGTCATTAAAACGCTTTTTTATATAGCGCTTGATTGAAGGATGTAAAAGAAAATTATCAATGAGAATCCACGTCTGTAAACAAATCAGTCTTACTAACAAAGCAGAAAATAAAGATGAGTATATTTGGGACAGAAAATCCTGACTTATTTAGAGAAAATACTAGTAACCAAAATAAATAAGCATGCAACTTATTTTAGCATGAAGATTTTGAATGAGTTTTTGCAAGTGCTCTGTGTTACCACCATTATTTTCAGGAAAAAAAAACAAATGGATTGTCGCATAAATAATAACAACAGTCAGCATAATAATAACAATAGTGTTATTGGAAAAGTCGGATCGTGATATTCGTGACAGATCGAATCTCATGAAAATAAAATTCAATAAAAACTCTGCGATCAACTACGATTGATCTATCGTGACGTGCGTAACTGACCGCACGACAGTGGGAACGTAGCATAAAACATTAAACTCTCGCTTCGGAATATATAAATCAAATAGTCGGTTTCTACCCTCACTTGGCATCAACAATATTGTCATTTCCGGTAGAAAACATTAAGAAAAAAATCTGAACATCGGCGAAAGAACTTCATCCGAAATACAAATATATAAATATAGATTTATTGTACGATCTCTATATAAATCTTTCATGAAATCTGTCGCCATTATAGTTCCAATATGGCCAATATGTGAATGAGCAGAATGAACACCATTTCTCCATATATTCTGTTTTTAGCTATTGCTATCACAAAAGTCCAAAAATAGTGCCTCTATTCAGTGATGTGCTACAATATTTAAATACACCTCTAAATGTTATAATATTCAATCTTTCCCTCTTTTGAGTGTTTACTAAACAAATCATACCATAGACTGGCACAGAGTCTGTCCAGCTGTTTCATACTTCGATATTTTACTTGAAAAAGACGTTAATAATAATCAAACAATTAAGCTTTATGATAAACATGATAATCTAAACTTCGCAATTGTCAAGTTCCCTAATTAATGCAGCAATATACCTTCATCATCTACATACGGAGTTTATATAACTCAATTAATTCAATATGCAAGAGCATGCTCTACGCATAAATAATTTCTGAAACGAGGTAAATAATTGACAAACAAGTTGATGAAACAAGAATATAAGCAATTTCGTTTAAAGTCATCAGTTCATAAGTACTATGGTCGATACGATGACCTTGTAAGCAAATTTGAAAAATTCAGCAGTTCAATAAACCATACTTTTCTTGTTTTGATAAACGGATGAATAATGATTACGTGATGGATAAGAGCTTTGCTGATTGGTTGAACCCATATTTCGGTATAGGAAAAAGGTAAATTTAGTTCAATAAAATGAACAGTATATATACTGTATATATAGATGCTTAGTATAAAGCTATGTACAATACAGATACTTTTATATAATAACATTATTAAACAAGAACATGTCACATAAATGAAATTATTTGCAATAATTACTATCTGTGTCAAATGCTGACTACAGTTTTTCATACGATTTGTTAGTTCATTATTTATACACTAAAATGAAAAGGAGCTCACGGTAGTTGGGACCTTTCAGCAGGGGATGCTCACTACTCCATGGCACCTGATCCCACCTCTGATGTTTACTCTGCTCCTATTTTGTATCTTGAATACTGTTCGTTATATTCATATGTTTCATCAATTAAATTTCCAAAATAAAGAGTGCAGGGTAGTGAATTTGTTAATAAAGTGTAAAACGAGACCAAGAAAAACAGAAGTACAAGATTTCTTTTCAGCCAAATATTTATTGATGATCTTAATCGTTGTTGATATTATTCATGAATATAATCATTTTGCAAAGAATTGAAATACAGTGTATCTTTGTATTGAAAAAAATATTTTGTCATCGCCTGCATTTGGGTTGGAACACCTAGGTGCAAATCAGGCATTAATCGAGGCGTCTTGTCACGTATTTTGGTTTTTTCTCTAATGTATCCGATTAAATATATAATTTATCCGAACAAATATCGAATATTTTAAAGTGATTCGAACGAATATCTTTCTTGTCGGAGCAAATAGAATAGTTTTTATCTGATCAATATAGTACCTAAACGTCGTTTTTTCGACATAATTATTAAAAATGAAATAAACTGCAGATGCAAAATTAATGCATGTGTACATAAAGATTGAATATGATTTATGTGAATTTATAAATTTACAATAAAATACGCTAATTGAATTCCATAAAAAAAAAACTTTATTATAATCTTTTAACTCTAACACTTCCATCGTCAAATTCCCTTATTTATAAACCAATTTACCCATATGAGCTTGCAAAAAAAAAAACTTCAATCAAACAATGTTAGCCCCTTTCTCCGTAACCGATAGTTGCGGTTACGGAAGTGGGCCGAGTAGTTACGATTGATCAGACTTTATTTAAAATGCAAGTAGGTGCTCAACGTAGGAACAATTTCTGGAGAGAGGCAAGATATTGATAGTCACCCATTTGGCCGCAAAATTAGATTTGATAATTATGAATTATTATTTTTACCTTTACAAGATACCTACACTCTCTCATAGGAAATTTGTATACTGCTGAAAAGTAAATGAAGTTCTGTTTACTAGGTTATTTAAAACGTCATATATTAACATCATTTGTCTCCCAGTGTGAAAATGAAAACTGCGTTCTTGAATATCTACTCGGCACTGCTAATCACCTTCATAAAGATAATTTGACGACTGCGTAAAATTTAAGAGGAGGTCTGGGACTCCCACCTCCCGGGTATAAATGTCAATATTCCGAAATGTAATTGCACATAAACTGGACAGCAATAACCTTTCTAGGTGAAACAAAAATCTATTGTACGTCTACAGAAGTAATTACTGATTAAAATTATAGGTATTGTGAGTAATGAGCTCACGAAATGATACCCCCGCCTCCCATATGGTTATAATAGCAAAGTCCATGTTTTGATGTGGCCTGGAAACCCAAAAATTGTGTCGGATCAAGAAGTAAATAGGAGATGCACAATGGCAATATATGTAAGTAAAAATTCTGTGAAAGTTTCATTAAATTTCACTAAGTGGTATAAGAGGAGTTGAGGACAAGAGATGGGTACCCCAAAGCGTAACAAACAGACGAACGGACGGACGGACAGCTAGACGTACAGACGGACGGACGGACATACTAA